TCTTCCTAATCCCCTTTCTTCATGTACCGTCTGCAGCAGCGCCAACAGCCCACTTCCTGCACCACATTCGCCGCTTTTCCGCGCCACGATCGCCGCCGTCACGGTCGTGCGCGCCGGGAGTGTCGCGGCGCGTCCGCCCGCGCCGGGGCTGTCGCAACTGCGCCGGTAAAAAGTCCATACCCCGCACAGCGTGGCTGAGCCTTTGTCCGCGTTCCCTGTCCGATGGGTTGCCTAATCAATGACCTCGGCACATCTGGGTAATCGGGCCCTCAGACTCCCGTCCCTTACTATTCATTGCCCCTTTATCGGCCCCTGCCGAGGGGGAGTGGAGCTTGGAAGTGGGTCACGAAAGGGTATTACACTCACGAAAAGGAGATGCACATCGCCGGTAGAGCCGTGCTGATAAAAAAGATTGCGTGACTTTCAGTTGAACGACTATGGCGCCTGAAGACGATTAAGATTAATTACCACGATATTCACAATTAACGCAATATAATTAGCTAACCGCAGATAAATGTTAAATCTTGCAAAAGTACTTAAATCCGTCACCCGCACGTCACGCAACCCGACCTACCATAGGATACCCTCTCCTCGACGGATCGCCCTAAAATCCTAAAATCCCGGCTGCCGTGCCGACTAAACCCCATCTGTCCCCGTATGGCACTCGAGTTGTGTCAGACAGGGGGTCGGCCCCGTAACCCAGCCATGAGCCACTCGGCACGAAACGGAACCGCAACGGTTACCCGGCGGTTCCATTTGTGGTGGCTGAGGCTCTCGATCGCTTACACAACGTTATGTGCGGTTACCACGGGCCGGATATTCTGTAACGGAGAGTGTAAGTCACGTAAAGAGCGCATTAAAAAAAACTGCTTCAATTTCTTACCAGAATTAAGTACCTTGGACCTCTTTTCATCAAATCTGACCATCACAAAACCTTATCAACTTCTCGCAAACCACCTCCCAAAAGACACCCAACTCTTGTCTCTTTTGACATGCTTTTAATTTCAGCTCACCCTTTGACCAGTTCCATAGGCCATTGAGCTCTCCATACCCCCCTCTGACGTCATTTGTGTCCATTTGGCAGCGCCAGCTGGTCTACCAACCATCCCTGTGACGTCATTTGTGTCCATTTGGCAGCGCCAGCTGGGCTACCAACCATCCCTCTGACGTCATTTGTGTCCATTTGGCAGCGCCAGCTGGGCTACCAGCCCAACTTCCGCGGCTGCGCGCACACGGACGTCTGCTGCCGAAACCCGATCCCGGTTGGTCCGACGAACCGCCAGCAGCCCGGGCAGTGTGGGGTGGGACGGACAGACGCCGTCAACGGACGCATCAAGAACTATGACGTCAGGGAGGGCGAGACCGTGTTCGGTGAGTATGGATGTGAGGTGTGATGTCATTGGCGATGTCATGCCATACATAGCATCGGGTGTTGGGCTCGGAGCAGCCTATGTTAGGAATTCACAAGTTAACATTTGTTTATAGTTAGTGTTCATCTGATAGCTACATTAGTTTTTGGCTATACGATAATACGGCAATACGAGGTTTTATTCTTGGACAGCTACTCAGTGATTGTGCTTCTTTTGTTTTTAGCTCACATCCTATCATTACCCAACGCATTTACATCGACTTTCTCATATTTAGCCTCCCCGACTCTCAAGTCTCAATTGACCTCGGTGATTCCTTCATGTCATCAGGCGAATTCCCCTGGCATACGGCCATTCTGAAGAAGGAGGGAGCTGACAACGTGTATGTCTGCGCTGGATCTCTGATTGGAAACGAGTACATTCTCACTGCGGCTCACTGCGTCAAGAGGTGAGTGAAGGGAGAGGGGAGAGGAGAGGGAGAGAGGAGAGAGGGGCTCAAGAGGGTCTGGTATGACGTGTAGATATTGTACTGAGTACCACCACAAAACTTTCCCATGTGAACGTAACAATCGTTCTTTGACAATACACCAACATTTTACAAAACACATTTTCGAATCGCATCCTGACCACAAACACGCAATAAAGACAATGCAACGGCACACCAAATACCGTTAACACCCACCCTAAGCTCTCTGTAAACCACCACTGCACATCAGTTGACAACCTGAAGCCTTAGGTAGCGTCCTGACGATTTCACCAGCCCCGCTAACCCAGCCAACTCCCAATGGTGATGAAAGCGGCCGGTGAGCGCTGCGCTATGATCTTATCACACAGAGTAGGGCCCGATTTGGAAGCGGGAGACAATGTGGGGGCGGTCGGCAGGCGGGCTCGTCTGAAACTGACAAACGCCGTGTTGTAAGAATGTGTGCAATCGATCGGTAAACTGACAAATAGTTTTGGTGCGGTTGGTAATCTTACAAGCCATGTCAACATAATCTGGATTCAACACAATATCCACGGTACAATATCATGAGTGGTCCATTGCTAGGATCAATGTCTGTTTACCAATGATGGCTATCGTTATAAATACGAATTCATAAAACCTTGATGTAATACCGCCCAGTGTAGTACTCAAAAGTCCCACTCCTCTCCATCTATCTCTCCACTCGAATCGCTCAAAACTTCCCACTCACGCCCTTCTAACTCCCCACTCGAATCGTTCTAACTCCCCACTCCGTCATCCGTCCACAGCTACGAGCCGTACGCGCTCCGGGTTCGTCTTGGCGAGTGGGACGTCAATCACGAGACCGAGTTTTACCCGCACGTCGAGAAGGACGTCTCAGGAATCTACATCCATCCCGAGTTCTACGGAGGCAACCTCTACAACGACATCGCACTGCTGAAGCTGGCCAGCCCCGTGAACGTGCAGTACAAGTAAGTGAAGCGGTTTGGGGTCGGAGGAGAATGGGAGGGGGTCGTAAGAAACTATCCGAGTGATGATTTTGAGGAAGAAATGCTGGCAGCTTGGGGGAATATTTTATCATCGTAATGCTGATAATGCTCGTATACACCAATAAATGCAAACTGAGTTTTCGATTAGCAAACAGTCGGTCAACAACTTCTTCCGGTCTAACTTCTTCCTTCGGCAAGCTTCTCCATCAAAAGGACAACCATCAAACAATATGTAACCACCGTCACTGAGCTCTAACCTTATTCCCGCCCCACCGTTTCAGCCTGCACATCGGTCCGGTATGCATCCCGCCCCAGTACGCCGACTTCACCAATCAGAGGTGCTGGGTCTCCGGCTGGGGGAAGGACGCCTTCGGGCAGCACGGAAACTTCCAGAACGTCCTCAAAAAGGTCAGTGAACGCTCGAGTCCGGTTGACAGTATAGAAGCATATGGGCTGAGGTTTGAGAAGTGATGTAGAGAAGATAAATGGTCCGCATCGTCTGGCAATGAAACGATGTTAAGAACATGAAGGTCTTCTCATCAAGGTTACGTTCAAATTTAGAAGAAGGAAAATGTCAAACCATGCGTCTTTCATTTGCATTTAGGAACTTCTTTTTACAAATTGAATAGAAACGTATTGAGGATAAAAACTTGTCAATGACATTGATTACAACGTTATGCCCCCGATGCCATCATAACGTGACTATTTTTGGGAGCGACACCCTGACAGTTTCCAATTCTCCCAACCAGGTGGCAGTGCCTGTGATTGGTAACTACGAGTGCGAGCAGCGTCTGAAGCGCACCAAGTTGGGCTACGACTTCAAACTGCACGGTGGCTTCCTCTGCGCCGGAGGAGAGGAGGGAAAGGACGCCTGCAAGGTACGTAACAGTGGAAGGAGGATAGGGGTTCCGAGTTACATATTGGGCCTTGAAGAAACGACTTGAGTTGCACATAGGTTTATAAACTCATGTCCAAAGATGCGAAACATTCAGACAAATTGACTGTAAGTAATCAATATTTGAGCCAAGCTTGGTAATGAAATATGCCAAATCATCCGTGAAAGGTTCAAAAGCTTGATAATCATATGACACAATTTGAAATTTCACTCGAGAAGAATGACAAGTGAAGAAGTCCCCTTGACATGAGTGATGGCCTAAAAATCACACCACATCTCCACAACGTCGTACCTTAACAGCACGCCCCTCAGCCCTTGCGCACCCATATCCCCGCATACCCCAGCACTTCTCTGACCCCCCCCCCCCCTTCCCCACAGGGTGACGGCGGCGGTCCGCTGGTGTGTGAGCAGGCCGGCTCGTTCTACCTGGCCGGTATCGTCTCGTGGGGTGTCGGCTGCGGCCAGAGGGACGTGCCCGGCGTCTATGTCAAGGTACGTACCGCGCCGGTGCTGTCAGAGACCGTGCTGATGGTGAACGTGGTATGGTGTGATTTATAGGGAGCTTCTTGCTTGCCTCGAAATGTCAAGCAATTGTCCTATTACCGTTATAAATGAACCGATGTTTATTATCCAAGCTAATAAGTCCTGAGAAATATGTTTGAAAATATTTATAAGGGAACGATTATAATATCTACATAGATCTTCCTGTGGAACAGAAAAGCTTAGGTGCCCAATTAGATCAGCTTGATTTGTAGCCTGTTCGATCACACGTCTAACCAGTACCGTTCCTTGCAGACGACCGAGTATCTGCCCTGGATCCAGTCCATCACTACGTACCGGCCCTTCACGGGCGTCCAGTCGCGTGCCAGGAAACCCGCCGAGGGAATCGAGGCCGAAGACTACATAGAGGTGGTCAAACAGTAGGGCATACGAGTACACTCGCCTCGTACACTCGCCAGTGAACACTAGAGTGGTGGACGTTTTGCCAGAAACTGTGTTTTGCGGACGAAGTGTCAGTGTGGACGGGAAAAGTCTTAAAACGTTGTCGCAGACGGAGAAGCCAGGGTTAAGATGAAGCTGGACGGGTGATGAGTGTGCTAACATTGTTGTGACATAATATTCGAACAGGGACCAGCGATTGGGAATCATACGCTTTCATGTTTAGCGCGTGAAAGTTTCATCCATCGAGGAAGTTGAGTGATGATCATGTTATTCAGCCAAACTCCACCCCCAGGCGCCGTCTCCCAAGCGACCCCATTGTTGTTCGCTTCGAAAGGAGCCAGGACTGTAGTGCACATTGTAACAATATTTATTGTATGTATACGCCCTTGCGTTCCGTGTGTGTTTGCTCATGTAATAAACATGTCTCGAAAATGAGTTGGTTTTAGCTCAACAATCCACATTTGCACTATAGTACAGCATCAGCTGCTGTGAGCGACTGACTTCTTCGCACTCCGAGAAAATATTACAAGGTTCTCAAACTGAGCGGAAATTGGGCTTGTCATTCCTTACATTCCTCAACGCCTATGAACACAATATCGAGCAAGTAAGGTGACTGACTGGCCTACGCTGGCTGGAGACCCACGACTGACTCAACACGTCAAAAAATCTACAGATGTTCAAAAATTCATGGCACGTCGCGACTAACAGTCGGCCTTCGTTCAACCATACGCAACGGAGCATGCCAGGAATCGAATAGGGAATTGAAAAGTAATTCGGGATTTTGTTCCCGGAACCTTTATTGGGTGGCAATGCCATTGAAGGAAATTGATATAATTTGTCAATAACATTTACCGTTCACTGAAGCACCTCGTTTCAAAGAGACTGCATATTGGGATCGCAGCAAATAAAACGGCTCCAGAAATATGAAAAGTAAGTAAGTAATTGGGACTCATATGCTGAAGACACTGCGATGTTGCAGCTGATAGCATTAATTACAGTAGAATAGAAGCGTGGCGAAATAACTTAAGATGGACTAGACTCATTTATGTACAAAGATCCCTAAAAACATGGATTTTGGCCAGGCCAGAGCGAAGGAAGTGGCAGGGTATCAACGGGTAACGTTAGACCCAGTGAGTGCCCGCCAGTGACCAGTCCTATTCCAAGGCCACACATTTCCCTATCCCCTCTCAAAGCTCCAACCAATAACAAACTCACAAACAAGACGCGTTCCCAAGCTCACCGCTCACAGAATCACATGATATAAACAGACCAACCACACGAGTTACGATCACCGACAGCCATTCTTTCGACCGGCAAGAACAGCCGGGCTTGCCTGAAATTGGCTCCTTGAATCCTTCCTCTTCTCCGCTGTTCAACTCGCTGTTGCTTCCTGCTGTTGCTGCTGATGCTGTCGCCTGCTATTGCTGTTCACCCCGCGTGTTTATGTTTAACGTTGTGCGCGGTCGCTGACGAACAGAGGTGAGCGACCAGCATGCCGGCGGCGACGCGTGCCTCTGTGTCCAGACTGTCCACGTCATGGGCCCACTCTACGCGGCCCCAGACGTCAGCCTGGTGGGGAGAGGGGAGGGGAGGCGTAAGACGGGCGAAAAGGGGCGTGTTAGGGGTGGGAGGGGGTGATAGTGGCGTATTATGAACAGGATGGGCGGGCGGACGGTGCTAGAGATGCGTTGAAGATTTTTCTTCAATTTTTAATGTTGACTTGAGCAGAATAGAGAAAGATGGAGCACGATATATTGTTTTGTTTGTTTGTTTTGTTGGGTTAGGCCCTTTCGGTCCAATGGGACCATTTCAGAGCCGGGAGGATGATAGGATATAGGGGGAGACATTGGTCTGGGCAGGCACCCTAGTGAGTCACCGGGGCTGAGCCCGTCCGGAGGACAGGCCACCCAGCCCCAAGGTACTCACTGCACCCGGCTACGGGGTGCGCTCCCTCGGGAGCAGCGGTGCCGCTCCAAGGGAGCAGCCCGCATGAGATAAAGTTGCCTGTCCAGCCCGGAGGGGGGTTGCGGCGTGGAGGAGAAGGATTTCAGTATCCTGAGGATAGAAGCACGGAACGGTGAGTGAGCACGATATATAGAGATAAACCGAGGCCATGCTGACTGAACTCCAACTAGTTAGGACGCACGTTCTCTTATTCTCTACTCTATTTATCTGTCTTATTGCTTGTTCCCTCCACTCACACCATCTATCTCCCCTCCTCTCAGTACATCTCGCTCTATCTCCCCATATCTTTCCCGTTCTCTCCCTAATCTCACCTGATATTCTGCCTCCAGTCGCGATAACCGGGCCACCTCCCTCGGCACCAGTTTCCGCTCCAAAGCCGCCAGAGGCAGCACCGTCGACCGAACCGACTCGACGGCGAACAACAGACCCGTCAGAGTCCATGTGTTGTGCGTTAGGAGGTATTCCTGTGCAGAAGAGAGACGGAAAGGTGGTTAATTTAGTGTTGTACTAAGAGCGATCCGCTAATAGCTGTTGTTAGATTGAGCTTCAGTTGAGGTTTCATGGTAAACAAGATAGAAGGTTATGAGTTTTTTTGGCATCATATACCACGTCGAATTTGGCGAGAACGACAATGTCAGCTGAACTTCTTCAGCTCCACATTTAGATCGCAAATATTCAACGCATGCTTCGAGAAAACCGACGCAAAACCATTACCAATCACACCTAGAAGAGAAATATCGCAGACATTTCTATTTTCTCCAACCGTTTCTCCGATCCAACTACAAACATTCACCAAAATCAATGATTATCTCCACCGATCGTGGAGATAGATAATCACCTGCCGATTACATGATACACGTACCCCCTCACCTATAGCAGGTCCACCCTCACCTGTAGCACGTCCAGCGTCTGCTGCGGCACGCTGCAGACCAGCGACCCCGACTCGGCCGGCTGCAGGTCCACGCCGAAGCGGTGTCGGACCCACTCGAGCACGGCTCCCCACTCGCGCCGCTGGGCCTCAGCCAGCTCCGTGGGGTGCTGACGAGAGGGGGGGGCAGTGAGTTTAGAGTTACACAACTCGACCGTCTTGGGCGGGGGGGGGGGAGAATACGATCGCCGATTGGAAGGGATATCGATCGTCGATAGAGGAATTCGATCACCAATGGGGAGAAGATTTGATGACCGTGAGACTGCTTACGATGGCAAGAAAACGGTTCATTTGACAGTTCAGGAGATAAGCTCTTGATAGGATCAACAACTTCTGAATTCTGATTGACAATAATTGTATGTGCTGACAATAAGTGGCAATAGTCACTCATGGTTCAGAGTAGATGAATTAAATGAGCAGAGTGGGTCTTTCTTACTATGTGCACACAATTTAAAAAGTGTATTCAACCCTTTCTGCTTCTGCTGCTTGCACTTATGCCAGAAACATCCTGAACTGGAGATATTACTTAGGGATAAACCAGAAAACACCATTTGCCAGTAGAGCTCCACAGTGACATTCCTAAAATATGACAAATGTCTCCCCTCCACCTTTCCACTTACCTCCACTGGGAAGAGCACAGTGTCAGTATCCAGGTATCCGGTGATTTTCTCTGCCAGGTCCTTGTCAGTCCTCTTGTGCGGGTTGTCCAGTACAGTGAAACATAGACCTGTCTGAGGATAATTACAAGTCAGGATAGAAGTTCAGGATATGGTTGCAACATCAACTGACCCTTCTATTACATTCACATTCTAACTGCTCTGTTTCCATGACATTTACACTAAAAAAATAACCTATGTGGTGAGCTGGAAAGGGCTAAAACCATGAGACTGTCTGATAGTTCAGCATTCCTCCAACCACTCAGATTACAGATAACAGTGTATTAAAATCAAAGCTGGAAAGAGATCATCTCTGCATTGATATAAATACCCTAACTCTATCTCCAAATGTCTTACCAGGTGCATCTGGCTGGTTTGGATATGCTCTGTAACAGAGTCCCACTCAAATGCCACTCCGAGGGCCAGCTCCTTGTTTGGCACCTGCAGCAGCCGACCACCTGGGGTCTTAAGCTTTCTGTGGTCCAAGTTGACCTCCCATTTGCCATCCGAGCCAGCAATACTGACAGATTTGTAGAACTTCCGTCGAGCTAGAGCTGAGGATAGCAGAGGTGGTACGTAGCTACATCAGTTTACAAAAAAAAATTGAGAACATAGATTTAAAAGATTAAAACCAATAACTCACAGATGAGGTCCCTGTAAGATAAAAAACCTCCCTAAAAAGCTGAACAATCTCATAAATTAGGGTTATGCAGTTTATTTCAACTTATTCACTATACTTTTGCAGTCAGTTACCGACTATATCAAATTCGATCTTAAGTTGAAGAAACAGAAAGTTTAAAAGGTTGCATTTCATTGTCTACAGATTTGACAAAAATAAACAAGCAAATGAACCATATATCATAACATACCTGACATCCATCTCTTTGAAACTGTGTGAGAAGAAGTGGGCAAAACTGGAGATATCCTGAGTGTCAGACCCAATGCCCTTCCTATAGATATCATATCGATGAAAATATGGGTGACAACAAGGTGGCAAAGCTTCAACAGCCTTAATAAAGCACCAACAACCTGAAATTCAGACACCAAACGCATATAAATATTCGCAAACAGCACACGTTCGCGGCGAAAAGAGAGCAATACGGCTTTTCGGTCATGTTCAAAATTTTTATTAAAAGTACCGTTTATGCGAAATACTGAATTTCCATTGGCCGTTTCGACCCTACAAACCCCGCTAAAGGACGTGAGTGGCTTAAAACTGCTAGCGCAGTCATTACTGAACATTATATCTGCGTCGTTACTTGACTCTAGGCTGCCATATTTGACCATGCAAATTGATAAGAACGTGTAAGCAAATTATTGCTAGTGCTGAAAAAGGGAGAAGCCAAAAGGTTCCAGCATTTATGATCCTGATGCGGACTGTCACTTGCTACTATTTTTGTAATAAAGACACTCATTTTCCGCAGTATGAGCCCCTCAATGTAAATTGTACCCTCACACCGAGATTATCAAAGGTTTGAGCTTTTATGAAACACTCCGACCTCCGTGTCAAGCATCATGCAGCGAAAAAAGCGGCGAGTGTATGCAAAGTTTCAAGTTCGTTCCAAGTTCCAACAAGTAAAAGTCGATGAACTATAACCAACACATGTAGGTCCCCTCCGATTCCAAACCCATTTCTCAATCTTTTGTCAGGAAATAGAAATTGTATGTATGTATGTATGTATGTATGTATTGACACCAAAAGCCTTCCACATATGGCGTGGCGATTACGGCTTGGTGGTGGTACGTAGCTACATCAGTTTATAAAAAAAAATTGAGAACATAGATTTAAAAGATTAAAACCAATAACTCACAGATGAGGTCCCTGTAAGATAAAAAACCTCCCTAAAAAGCTGAACAATCTCATAAATTAGGGTTATGCAGTTTATTTGACAAACCTTTGTAGCGTGCGTGCATCCATATATTTTCATGAATGTAGCGAAAATACCGCTTCTATGACAATTAACGACCAGTGACCACGGGTACACTCCATATACGCTTCTATTAGGTTTCACAACAGCACCTCGGAGGCAAGTAGCAAAAAGAGCCACTTGCTGTTC